CTTCACTCGTACGACATTCGCGAGTACTCAAGATGGGAGAGGCACTTTTTAGAAATAAGTGAGTCTCGGTTCTCGGATCTTCGAATGTACGTAAATCTGGAGTGGTTTCCTAATTGACTCTGATCCCCCGGTTGCAAAATCTCCGATTTTCCAAATCGCGGGAATAACGCGTAACCGTGCCGTGATACAGTTTGGATCAACGACTCCTCAGTTTGAGGCGCGAACAATAACCGCGAGCACCAGCCGTTTTACTGCGTGTTCGATAGTCAGTTTGACTCAAGCTATGTTCCGTTTTTCGTTAGGCGGACCCCCTTGTTAGAATTACGAGTGATCTAGAAGCCGGTCGAGATCAGAGTGACAATCGATTTCACGGCTTGCGGGTCGATCGCTCCCCTGTTACCTGGAGGGGATAACACGCATGCGCTATTAGGACGTGTGACGAAATAGTCTGCCTAATTGCTCTCTACCCCACCCCGCAATCCGCGAACTATGAATCGCTAATATGTGAGCGTACTTTGTACGGTTACAAGATGTTAGTTTATTGCAATATATATTGTAAATTATAATATTATTCAATGGAATGTTCTAGAAGCATCGTATGCTTATACATTTAGCTCCGATCCGTATAGAAGTCGTGCGTAGTACATAGAGAAGGATAGAAAATACAATTTTCATTAAAACACTATTAAATTACTACTTTCATATCAACAACATAAACTATTATGTAGAATGCGATATTAATAATGTAATTAAATCGTTCGTTTGCACAATTAATGTCTATTACGTATTGTTTAATTTGCCAAGTTCTATTATTTCTAGTATTAATATTATATTTTGCATTATTATAATTGTTGTAACGAACTAGAAAAACGGCTAATTTGAAAAGATTAAGAAAATAACTGAACTTCACACGGGAACGGTCGAACGACGAATACAATACGAAAAACACCTTAACGTTTGAACATCACGAATACATTACATGTGCTCTGTTACACACACACACCATACCATACTGTTTACGTACACATAGAGCTCGGTTACTTTGCTATACTCAACAGAAAGCAATGACCCGATACCAAAAATTTGTTGTCTACCGTTTCAATATTATTATTTGATGACTGAGCAATTTTCATCCATGTCAATGCTACTTTAATGTTACGATTTTGGCCTGAACAAGCATCACTGTAAGCTATTACGTGTTTTTGAGTAGTTATATCCTCCATATGCGATAAAATGCATGATGCTACTTCCTCTGCACCTCTTGAAGCTGTAGTTTCACCCCATACATACATTTTGACATTGTCATCATGGAAATTATGGAAACCCAAGTTGTATACGTACATATTTCGCTTATAATAGGCTAACGAAACAGACAGTTTAGGATACGGAAGTGCTTTTTGCAAATCAAATGAAAATCCATAATATTCCCTGGAATTTTCTTTTGCTTTTTTCTGGTCCTCTGCAAGACAGTTCCTAGCTCGTTCGGTATTTTGTAAATGTACATCATGACTTTCTCTAAGATGTAATTTCTCTTCCTCATTTAGGAGTCACCGCGGGTTTACAATTTTTCATGCCAAATCGTTCTAATATTGTCTCTGTGTAATAACGCTGTCGCAAAAATACACTATTATTCTCGTCACGTGAAAACTCAATTCCGAGGCAACGATTTACTCTACCTAGATCCTTAATTTGAAAAAATGTTGACAGTGATCGCTTTATTTCACTCATCCAATGATTGTCGTTACTCGCAATTAACATATCATCCACATAAATCGCAATCAACATAATTTTATCATTCTTTCGAGAAACAAACATACACGGATCTTGTGGTAACGCATTAAAATTCAACTTTTTCAATTTATCTACAAGCTTACGATGCCACTGTAAACCCGACTGACGCAAACCATACAATGATTTTTTCAATAGACATACACTTTCAATTTATCTACAAGTTTACGATGCCACTGCAAACCCGACTGACGCAAACCATACAATGATTTTTTCAATAGACATACACAATCGCTTTTTGCACTTAAGGTGTTATACCATCGATTCGCAACTTCCTTCACGTTTTTATCACGAACTATTTCCGCATTCGAACCAACTTTTTCATTGTGTTTGATACTTTTCAGCACTTCACGTAAACATTCGGGCACTTCCATATATACATCCTCTTCTAATTCACCATTTAAATATGCTGTCACTACATCCAGT